TCCAAGCTATCGGCTGATGATAGGTGTTTTTAAATGGGACACCCTGTATGTTATTGAATTTTCCAATTTTTCCAGAAGAGCTGATTTCATCAATGTAACACTTGGGGTCTAGCGAAAATGATTACAGTGATATACAGGGTGTTTCATAATTGAATGCTGATCCTAAAGGGCGATAATCCTTGGATGATTTTAAGAAAAGTTCTTCATGTGAACATAGGTCCGTAACAACTTCGTTTCTGAGATACAGGATGTTGAAATTTAACAAAAAAATCAGTTATTCCCCAATATCTCTGAAATCGCTCTGGCTTTTTTCTTCAATTTTGGTACATGCCAAGTATGAATATAAATACATTTTTTCCATAATAAAGGATTTCTTAATTCCCATCAGTGGCGTCCCTGTTAACATACCCTGTCATATTTTTCATCAGAATAATGATACGCCACTGTCTTTTTTCCAAATAAATATTATTTTTGTAATTATCCTCTATCTTCTCATAAAAATAGTCCCTTGTCTTTTTTTCGTCCGGCGAACGGTTTTTGAGTTAGAAAATAAAATGCACTCATTTGCTTGTCCCTATTCGATTTTTACTCTTAGTCATAATTTCACAATTGTGGTAACCAAAAGATCTAGGCAATATTTTTATGATTTCATGGTAACTATTTTTAAGTTTTTGTAATGAAGAAAAAAGCCAGAGCGGTTTCAGAGATATTGGGGAATAACTGTTTTTTTTTGTTAAATTTCAATATCCTGTATCTCAGAAACGAAGCTGTTACGGACCTATGTTCACATGAAGAATTTTTCTTAAAATCATCCAAGGATTATCGCCCTTTAGGATCAGCATTCAATTATGAAACACCCTGTATAGGGTTTTCAGAATCGAAAATTTTCAAATTTGGGATATTTCGTGTCAGAACTATTCATTATAGGTCAAAACAGCTTACATGTCCCTATCTCAACGTTTGACTATCTACTGAAATTTAATTGGAATAGATACAGGGTGATCAGGAATCTTTCATTTTGAACCACCCTGTACTTGTTCCAATTAAGTGTCAGTAGATGGTGAATCAAAAGTTGAGATAGGGATATGTAAGCCGTTTCGACCAATAATAAATAGTTTCAACACAAAAATTACAAATTTGAAAAATATAGATTTTGAACACTATGTCTATGGATAAAGTGCATAGACTACATTGCATTCAGCTTGCTGTAGATGTAGTCAAACTTGTCAATGACATAAAGTGTTGGCACTGTTGGTAGTGATGATGGTTGAGTTGGTTAATTTTTTCACATTATTACAATATTTCAAATAAATGTAAATTTTTCCTGAAGCCGAACCTGGATTTTCACTTCGCCCGATAGGTGAATGAATTCAACGTCCCAAGTTTAAGCTCCATACCAAATTTTAGAAAAATTTACTGGGTAGTTCAATACTTATAGACGAATGAATAATTATTCGAAATCGATAAATCGCCCTGTATCTCCGTTATGAAGACTCTAAGACCTATAAAATATGGTATTTCCAGAACCACTTTGGTGGCCCCTATGTACCATTGAAATATTTCCCTTTATCTGTGAAACACCCTGTATAGAAGGCGAACACACTATTGACTCACCCTGTATAATGAACCCTCATTGTTAACAGGATTGAAATGAAATAAAATTTTGGATTGGGTGGTGAAATGTAGATAATAAAACATGTGTGTTGTCCAATAAACTACAAACCACAGACTCGACACAGCCTTGTTACTAGTGACAGCTCATGAATCATTTGTGTTGACATTTTTAGAATTAATAATAACCACATTATTCCAAACATTTTCCATACTTCAAAAATTGCTTCCAGCTGTAATGAGTTTTGTAGATTGTCATTTGGCATCTTGCAATGATATCTTATTCTCCGTCAATATTGATCATAAAGTTCCACATTCAGAGAAAGAAAACATAAGACGGCTCAAGTCTTTTGAATATTTGTTCAAATATTCTACATCATTATTTTCCTATATTTTCAATTAAACAGGCCATAGCTTCTGAAAATGGGGGAAATATAATTTGATGACCAAAATTATTAAAGTATGCTGACCAAGCATTTCTTGTTCAAATTTCCTCTTCAAATTGCATATTTGAATATTTAAAATATTTTATATGAATATATAGATGCCACCAGTAAAATAATTCCGATCTACCCCTTCAGGGGAGTAGTTTATTCTTGCAGTTTTCCAAAAATCCTTGCTGACCAAGCATTTCTGGTTCGTATTTTTCCATCAAATTACAAATTTGGATATCTCATATAGAATTATAGATGCCACCAGTAGAATTATTTCGATCCACCCCTTCAGAGGGGTAGTTTATTCTTGCTGTTTTTCAAAAATCCTTGCTGACCAAGCATTTCTGGTCCGTATTTTTCCATCAAATCACATATTGTGGATTGTGGATCGAAATAATTCCACTGGTGGCATCTATAAATCTATGAGATATCCAAATAAGTAATTTGATGGAAAGATATGAACCAGAAATGCTCGGTCAGCAAGGATTTTTGAAAAACTATGAGAATAAACTACCCCTCTATAGGGGTGGATGGAGATGATTCCACTGGTGGCATCTATATATCTTTTTTTTTTTCATTAAACCATTTTAGCATACATATTAATAAATACATCTAGCATTTTGTTCCTAATCAGCAACATGCTGGTGACGGAACATTATAATTGACATATGATTACAATCTTAAGTATATCATAGTACAGTAGTTTGTTGATTTATGTGCTGAATCAAGTTTATTTTAAATGAAGAATAACTATCTATATTTTTCACAGGATTTGGCAAAGAGTTGAAAGTTTCTAGACATTTGTTTATAGGATTATTTGGTGCCAAGTTTGTTCTTACATTTGATAGATAAAAATTATTTTGATTTCTAGTCTCATATGTGTGAGTTTCGTTAACTAAGTTGAATTTAGTATTACATTTTTGTTGATTTTTTTGTATTTTGTAAGTGTATTTGCATTGTTCTATTTGTTCCAAGGGCATTATTCCTGTTTCTTTATATATTTTCTCTGTATGTGTTCTGTAGCTATATCCAAATAAAAATTTCTCTACCTTATTTTGAAGTCTGTATTTTCTTAAATTGTGTTGGTCGACATATACCCCAGGTTGTTATGAGATAGCGAAAAACTGACAGAAAGTATGCATTGTAAATCATAAGCCTATTTTGAGTATTCAGATAGCTACCACATCTATACAAAGCACCAAGCATAGGGACTGCCTTTTTTGAAATATGATTTGAGTGTTCCTGCCAGTTCAGCTTATCATCTATAACCAGTCCTAGATATTTGGTGTATTCAACTATATTTATTTCTTGGGAACCAATTTTTATTGACAATTCACGGGTTTCCATATTTTTGTTATTGAATAACATAAAAATAGTTTTATCAATATTTATTTCAAGTTTATTACTTAGAAGCCACTCGGCATACAGTTTTTAATCATTATTCACCAACTGTTCCAATTCAGTTAGGTTATTTCCTTCATAGACAAGAACAGTGTCGTCTGCAAATATATAGTAGGGAGCTTTAGTAGTAGGCCCTATGACTGACCCTTGTGGGACTCCACAGGTAACATTTTTTAGTGCACTGTTAACTTTATCTAGTGACACATACTGTTTTTGGTCTCGCAAATATGTTTCTAGAAGATCTGCACATTTACCTCTTATCTATATAAGATATTCAAATATGCAATTTGGAGAGAAAATTTTAATCAGGAATGCTTGATCAGCATACTTTGATTTTGGTCAGCAAATTATACACCCCTGTGAATATGTCATTGACAAATTCATTGATAATACAAATTATGAATACAGCAATTGAGGTGTTTCCTTTGGAAATATAACTTTAATGTGAATTTTTTATTGAACACCTTGACCTTGAATGACTCACAAATAATTTGAAATTAAACAAAAAATTTTGTGTACCTACATAATTGAAATTGTATAAAATTTCAGTTTTCAAATTGTTTTACATTGGGATTTCCTTCAGAATATCCATATGATGATTGCATCATATGAGGTACCCTTCAAGTGCCCCACCCTTCATACATCCAAATAAAACAATAACATCTAAAGGAGAACCCATGAGATTCTTGTGACAATTACAATTAAAACACAAATGATTCAGACTCCTACACATTTACCAAAGATGTATGTACTATTCACACAGAATTCAAAATTGATATTTATGGAAATGTTGAGAAAGAAATCATACTTCTATATTTATAGTTAAATGTTCATTTATTCATTCTCAGAAAAGTTAAATTTTCATGTTCATTATTCACTAGGTATAGGAAAATAATCCAAATCAGAAATGTGGGGTAATCAATGGTTTTTGTCAAGAGGTAAATTTATCACCATATTTTGAAAGGCTCTCTGAACAGGGAGTCCCTTTCATGCACTCCAAGTGATAAAAAAAAACATTAAGCACACATTTTGAGCAGTTGTTTCCCCCTTGGCTTTTCTAGTGGTAATGAAGTCTGAGGTAGGTACCTACACTTGGAACTTTCAAATAAAATTGTGGAATGAAATGAAATCACTGAATACATCATTCCTTGCATCATTCCTCACCATTCTTATGATAATATTTGTTGTTTTTTTCTGAACTTGATTAGTGATTACTGCATCATAATGGAAAGTCCAACTTTTCATCAAAAAACAGGTGATATTGGAATTGAAAGGCTTGTCACAAAGCTTCATCATTAATGGGTATTCATAATTATATTTAGAGAAATCAGATATAACAAAATGATGAGAATTGACTTATGAATGTGTGATAAGATAGAATGATGAATTTTGTTGAGCTGCTGTTTAAGACAAAATTTGAAACAATAGTCTTTCAGGACCCAGAATAATGCCAAAATACCCAGAGGAACTTTGACAAGAATTCCAAGAAGTGCTTGACAGCCCACTTGTTTACATCACTACAGAGGGGAAATGCTGTAAAGAATTGAATTGTACCTTATGATTGAATACGTGTTGTGTTTCTTCCAATACTTTCCGTGACAATGCAACTTCGAAGGGGTCTATTTTGGAACAGACATTTTGTGACAATACATTTTTCTCTTCAGCATAAAAGCTCTTATGGAACTTTTCTAAGATATCCTTATCCAAAACTCCTGAAAAGTGAATGTGATAAAAAACGGAATGAAGAATGTTTGAACTATTAAAACTGGATATTCTAAATATTTAATTTAATACACAACCTCCTTTGTCTGAATCCATTGTGTTGGGACTCTTCGATGGCTAACTATGAATTCTTTGAACTATGAATGCTGATAATTGTGAATGTATTGTGGTAAGACAGAGTTTCACCAACTTTCATCAAATGATCAAAGTTCAACGTCAAACGGCTGAAACTGAAATGAGGGAAATGACTGAAATGAGGGAAATGACTGAAATGAGTGAAATGTGAAATGATAATAATGACTGTGAAAAAGGAAATAAAAAAAAAATAGAAACTGTCAATGTCTAATGAATTTATGAAATGTCAGTAATGTCACGGCTGGGTAGGCCCTTTCTTTTGTACGAGACGTGTAGCAGTGTAGCACATTCGCACACTATAGGCCTGTTCGTTTGTGCTTGCTCTACCTGCTGAAATTGATTTTTTTCTGTGACTCTCTCTGTTTACATCATGCCATGAACAGAGACAACTATGGGAAAAAAATCAGCTTTAGCAAGTTTAGCAATACAAACGAACAGGCCTTACATGTAATCAATGAAATGTATGTAAACTGAGTTCATTGCATGTAATTTACAACCTACGTGAAGTAAGCTGCCAATCTGGCTGCCAGAATTTCCGAACTTTCCCGATTGACCAGTGGCACGCGTTTCCCACTTGCTGGGATGTGTTGGAACAAAATCAATCATTCTCTACCGAATACTTGATCATTCCTTATTACCAAATCATACGTATGAAAAACTAAAATTTTAAAAATATTTTATTTCCGATACTTTTGCAAAAAATTGCTCAGCTGCTTTCGAGTCAGGAATATAGGTAATTTGTGTTGATTTATGCATTTATGATATCAGGTAATAATTCTATGCCAAATCGTATGGTAGACACCACACGTGAAAAACAGATTTTTGGAAAATATTTTTTTTTCGATACTTTTGCAAAAAACTGCTCAGCTATTTTTGGGTCAGGAAGATAGGTTTTTATGTGTTGAATCATGCTATCAGGAGATATGATTTCTTGCTAAATCGTATGGTAGACTCCACACGAAAAAAAAAAACAGATTTTTAGATATTTTTTTTGATAATTCTGCAAAAAACTGCCCAGCTGCTTTCGAGTCAGGAAGATAGGTAATCATGTGTAGGATCATACTATCAGGAAATAATTTCTTACGAAATCGTATAGTAGACTCTACACGAATAGAAACAGAAATCTTGAAAATATTGTATTTCGATAATTTTGCAAAATAACTGCTCAGCTGCTTTCAAGTCAGGGAGATATGTAATCATGTGTATAGTCATGTTATCAGAAAATAATCTCTTGCGAAATTCTATGGTACACTTTCACACGAAAAAGTTTCGATACTTTTGAAAAAAAACTTCTCAGCTGCTTTCTGGTCAGGGATATAGGTAATAGCGTGATTCTAAACTTGATTCGTCTCTCGCTGTATTTTTTGTGCATTGTACAAAAGCACATAATGTGATATGGCATGCGCGAATTAATGAATAGGCGAAAAACAAGATTCGTATGCCAAAATAATATTGTGGAAAACTATTTCAATCATTTGTAAACAAATCTGACAGTTCTTGCACGTAACCCATAAGGTTGTTGAGAATCATTTGAGAATATTCAACCTATTTCGTCTACTCCCCAACATGACCAATATTTCATCCTCGGAACTATCATAAGAACTGCTAGAACTTCTGGATCTGGAGAAAAGGACGTACTCCAATGACACTTTCAATACATAATTTCCCATTTTACATTAGATTCTACGAAAGCGTAGAAGCACCACATGATATATTTTTTTTATAATTGACAGATACTAACTGTCAACTAGCCTAATTGTCAGATACTAACTGTCAACAAGCCTAATTGACAGATACTAAATGGTAAGTAGTACGTAGCTTAAAGTAATTACTTGACAGATACTAAGTGGTCTTATAGCAAGGCTATTTAACTCTATGATGGAATAAAGAATGAACAGTATGTTTCTCACCGTGTGGGAGAAAATCAAGAGAGGACAGATGTATCCAATTGGCACTGTCTATACCTGATAAGATGAATATTGCAGATGCAGCAACTAGACCTTTGCTACTAAACGAAGACTACTTGGAGTATCTTCTGAGTGGTTTTGCGGGCCAGCATTTTTGAAACAGCCAACAGAGCAATGGCCAAAGAAAAGGATGACATTCTCGATGAAGACGAGAAGTTAGAAGAGAAAAAATCGTTTGTGGGAATGGTAACTAGAGAAGAGGTCGGATATTTACCAGATGTGAAAAGGTTTTCCAAATGGCTTCGATTGATAAGAGTGACAGCGTGTCAGTACTACGTTTCATTTTGGTTTCATTGAAATTTTGAAAACAAAAATCAACAATACGATATACATGGTGGGGGAACATTAGTAGTAGAGAATATAAATCAAGCTGAAGAATTCTGGATGGAACACTCTCAATATGAAAGTTTTCCCGATGAAATATACACATTGAGCAAGACGAATAACCTGAATAATAAAAGCAGCCTCAAGAAATTATGTCCAGAATAATTATATAGCATGGAATTGCGCACCAGGAAACCTTTCATACTGAGTCCAAAACATTACTTCACCGAGTTGTTAATGAAACATTATCACGAAAAATACCGACATCATTGAATTGAAACAATTTTTAACAAACTCCGTAAGAAATTTTGGATTATCGATGCACGTTACGGCTGCTTTGAAGAAAATAGTTAATAATTTTTCATGTGTCGGAAAGAAAAATTATATCCAAAACCACCGTTGATAGGAAAATTGCCATTAAAACGATTAACACCCTGTACTGGTCCATATTCACTCATGTAGGTATGAATTATTTTGGCCCATATTCAGTCGTTATAGGCAGACATAAAGAAGAAAGATGGGGAGCTTCATTTACTTGTTTGTCAGTAGGGGCTGGAAATTTCTCAATATCCTTATCGTCAGATTCTGCCATTATGGCTATACGAAGATTTATTAGTAGAAGAGGATATCCAGAACAATGGAAAAAATCTAAAGGGGGCTCACAATAAACTGCGTGAAGCTTACAAAAATTCTGACAAGAAATCAACAATAGATTACTTGAGTTCTAAATGTATCGACTTTAGTGAGGAGATCTTTAGGAGCTGTTATCCATGGCCATTCTTTGAAGGATGAAACACTATCAACGTTGTTTGCTGAAGTTGAAAATATACTGAATGCACGTCTACTCACTCACGTATATCTATAGATCCCAATGATCCAGAGGCTTTAACACCGAATCATTTCCTAATCAGATACGGAAATGCACTAAATTCAACAGTTGATGTCGAAAACAATTCACGAGAAAATTGGAAATAAACGCAAATGCTGTTAAACTGCTTCTGGAAAAGATGGGTGAAGGAGTATTTGCCAACCTTAACCCGCACCCGCATAGCAAAATGGACAGATAATAAAGTCTCGTTAAAATCTGATGACATTGTCCTGATAGTTGATGGAAACTCTCCCAGAAACAATTGGCAACTGGGGAAAATTCCGAGAGTGTAGTAAAGTTAATTGTATTTACTGTGATTATGATCACAGAGTATATTATTGGTAAATGACAACGTCAGAGTAGCAGATGTCCAGACCCAGAAGAATACGTATCGTCGTCCAGTAACCAAACTGTGCCGTTTGGACCTTGAATTCGCCATGGAACCGAAGACTATCAAGTGAAGAATAATAGGCTTTCTTCACCGGGGGGAAAAAATGTCGTGGTTCACAGCAAGACCCTGTAGAGAAATTTTATTTTAGGTTCAGAAGTTTCTTGTCAACAAAATTGAAATTGAAATATATCAGATTGACAAAGGAAAATATTAAATAATTTTAATTATATGAAGCCGTTACATTTGGTCCTTCAACAGCATTAAACATTTAGTTAATCAGATTCTACCAGATTCCTTCTCTGATATATCGGATTCTTTGTATACTGAATGCGAATATATGTGGTGTTCGGCTTCGAAAACATCTAAACCAGACAATAAATGTTCTCAAAAATCATGGGATCTTCCTCTGATTGATTTGTCAACTAAACATATCTCCTTGACTCAGCTCAAAACTCCCCATTTGAAATGGCTCGTCTCAAGGCTCCCCCTGTCCTCTTTGCCTTTAGTATGGGACTTTACCTGCGTAGATACAGTTGCTACTTCACATATAAATTCGACATGCAATATCGCCGGAGGAGCAACAGATTGAGCTGAAAAAATTAAGTTAAATAAATATTCCAGTCTGAGGGACCAATATACATGTATACATATCCTGTTGCCATCTAAACTAACGGGTCTTTTGGTGCCTATGCTACAGAATTATTCGAACTAATTGAAAGGAAACTCATTCATAAAACTGGCGATAATATGCATGAGAGGTCGATCTTTCCTGATTCAGCGTATTAGTATCGCAATCCAAAGAGGGAATAGGGAATGAATCATCAATATTGGGTATACTATTCCTTCCACTCAACGATTGGATGAAATTTGAATTCGTCCACAAGGAACTTCGGAATTCTATACTCAGCTGATGAATGATGATATCTCCCAATCCGTCCCCTCAAATCGCAGTTGCCACCACCTGTCCTGAAACCAGGCCTAATTGGATTGAAAAATATCGGAAATACTTATTTCATGAATAGCGTCGTTCAAAACCTGTCTCAAACTGAGTGGTTGTTGGAATATTTGAGGAATACTGTTTATATCAATGATTTGAACAAAAGCTCAACCAGCAGGAAGGGGACTTTGATGAAAGCATTTGCAGATGGTATAGATAGAAGCTTTGGTCGAACGATTCGTCTGTCCAAATCGTTTGTTTTTACGATCAGAAACAACAAATTCAAAGGTTTATGGGAATGGACAAATCATTTAGTGTTAATGTCGAAGCAGTGGATTCGTGGTCGAGATTCTTGAGAATGAGTTCGTCGATGATTTTGTCAGGCCGTTCAAGTCTACTTTGTAATGCACCTTTTGTGGTAAATGTGACGTTCGAACCATTTTGGGAGTTGTCTTTATATATATATATATATCT